TTCTCTCATTTGGAATGGGTGCATCATGTTTCTTTTTTGCTTGGCATCAGACTATCTTATCCACAGAGGAAGAGGGGCGTATATACATAGCTTCGTCCTGCTGATAATGGCCAAGAAGCGGCATGCCAACGGTGAAGGGAAGAAAGTCGTCGCCGAACGCAACAGCAATGAAAACAAAAAAAACACCCATCCCAAGAATGGCGCAGAGGTGGGGAGTAGCAATAGTGGCCATGAAATGAGTACCAGGAGAACGAAAGCACAACATCCAACGCGTAAAAACGATGCCCAGAACGGCCAGCTAAAACCACCGCACCCGTATCTGAGAGAGTTTGACTTCACGGACCTAGCATATACTCCTCACACGCTAACGGCACTCGTCGTTCTGGTGTCTGTGATCCTCTTTATGGTACGCTATTACTACTACCCGCACATGAGTGTGGTGGCCAGTGTAAAACTGGGGTTGTGTGCAGCTTCCCTGTCTTTTATTGTCTTCGGTATGCTTCACCTGCCGGATTCGCTGCTGGTGCGCCCGCATCCCTGTGTGTGGCGTGTCGTACTGACTGTCGCCCTTATGTATCTGGCGCTGTTATCCTTCATGCTGTTTCAGAACTTGGAGACGGTACGTGCCATTATAGGCCTCTATGACCCCGCGCTGCTACTGCCGCTGCCGGAGAGACAGTATGCGGAGGACTGCCGCATCTCCACCCCCGATAACCCGTATCTCTTCTTCCACACCGCTTTTGATGTCTTCATAATCGCGCACGCTCTTGGGTACTTTGTCAAGACGATCATCCTGCGGGACTGGCGCGCTGCGACGTGTGTGTCAGTTGGCTTTGAGATTATTGAGGTTACCTTTCAGCACGTGCTTCCAAACTTCAAAGAGTGCTGGTGGGACCACCTGCTGTTGGATGTGCTGTTGTGCAATGCTGGGGGCACACTGCTTGGCATGATGGCGCTGCGAAGACTGCGGGCAAAGGAGTTCCACTGGGTGGCGCTGTGCGACATTAAGGGTTGCAAAATGAAGGCGCAACGTATTCTAGGCCAGTTGGGTCCGCGCAGTTTTATGGCGTACGAGTGGAACGTCTTCCATACTCCGAAGCGGTTCCTGCAGTTTGCTGGGCTGCTGGCACTGCTCTTTCTTCAGGAGGTGAACTGCTTCACGATGAAACACATTCTGCAGATACCGTCAAACCACCATCTGGTGACGGCGCGTCTCGCAATGTGGAGCTTCATTGCAATGCCTACCGTGCGTGAGTACTACGAATATATCAATACTGCAGATCACAAGGGTAAACGCTTTGGCACAACCGCGTGGGTTGGTCTGCTGGCGCTCCTACTGGAGACGATTCTCATAACGAAGCTGGCAATTGAAGGGAGCTACTTCCAGGAGCCGATGCCGAGCTACATCGCGGTGCCCTGGATGGTTGCGCTGCTGATCTTTGCTCTCTGGTTCGCTCTCTTCTTCGGTGCCGTCACAACGCAGGAGAGGATGACGCGACGAGGGTTCCTCTACGCGGTGTCAAATGTGCTCTTCTACAGCGGCTGCTGCTGCGTCCTCGCGGCCTTCGTGATGGGGATGCCAGACTTGCAGATTGGCAGGGCGTCGTTCGAGCGTTTTATTTCACCATACGAGTCGCGTGTTTTTTTCTGGCGGGAAATGCATGGCTAAGGGGCCTCGTGCCTGGGTGCCACTCGCCGCCTCGGCAAAGTCTGCTGCACACGTCCCACAGGCACCCACTAAGAGGGCGGAACACATCGGTGTTCATTTGTTAACACACACACACACATACACATTCGCACAAAAAGAAAAGACGGAAGTGAAGAAGAACCGAGAAAAAAAAAGCAAAATTTAAGCACCTTTATGGAAGTCTCTACTACAAAAACTCCACCGCTTGACTTCGCGTTGCGCAGCGTTATGCTGGCTTGCCTGCTTTGACTTCTGGGGCTATATGCGAGAGGCATTCTCTGGTGGCGTGCGTGCCGCACATTTCTTTGGCGCTCTAACAACACAGTCAGGCAGATAGACAGACAGACACACTCACATCACACGGATTGACTCACAGAAGAAGAACAAGAAAGAAAAAAATAAATAAAGAAGAGGGTGAGAAGGGAGGAAAGGTTTGTTTCATCACACATGAAGCCGCTGCTGGTGTTTGGGCTGCGAGGTACGCTGCTGGAGCGCATCCACACCAGCCGCATCCCCCCCGGCATGCCCGATGGCGCCGTCACTGTCGGCATGAGTCGCGTGTGGCTTCGGCCCGGCGCCCTCGCGACGCTGCAGGCGCTGCAGCAGCACTGCACACTCGCCCTGTGGAGCTCCACCACGGCGCGGAACACTGCGCCCATCATGGAGGCGATGTTCGACGTCAGCAGCGCGGAGCCTAAGGTGCGCTTCGCGTTTGTGTGGTCGCGCGAGCACACGACGTCGGACGAGTTCCGCCGCACGAACGCGGCGTCGCGGGAGGATCAGCACGCGACGGTGAAGGACCTGCGCGAGGTGTACCGCCGCTTCCCCGACATCGCCACGCCGCAGAACACCGTCCTCATCGATGACACGCCCAGCAAGGGCAAATGCAACGCGGCGAACTTCTTGTGGCTGGAGACGTGCGAGGAGCTGAAGATCGAGGACGCGCAGGTGATGCCGGCACTGCAGCGCTTCGTCGAGGAGCGGCTGCTGGCGGAGAAGGACGTGCGGCGCCTGCTGCCGGTGCGCATTCCGTGGGACTCGTAGGGGGGTGGGGTGTTGGTGGTGGTGTCGCTGCTGCCCGCTGTCGTGACGCGCGTGTTTCTTTGTGTCTGGTCGCGTGTGCACCTCTGTCTGTCTGTCTGTGCGTGGTGCTCTTTCACATTCCTTTTTCCCTCCCTGTTGCTGTTGCTGTTTTCTTTGCTTCCCAACCGCCGCACTGTGGCGCCAGGCACACACCCCGCACATTGCGCAAGGCACCGAGTGAGGTGAAGGACCGTATTACAGTGAGAAGTTCAACGCCAGCAAGAGGCGAAGAAACTCATCCAATAAAGGAGAGGAAGAAGCGAGGAGTGTTGCGTGACCGCTGTTAGAACAGGGAGCGAGAAGCAAGCAAACCAAGAACAAAGAAAAAAAAATCAAGAACTATCAACAGAAGAAGAAAACGAAAGGCCACCCCCCAAAAAAAAAAACACACAAAGCGAGGCACGATGCAGTATGAAGTGACAGGTGAATCGTGCGAGATCGACCTCTCGCAGCTTATCAACTTTTCCATGTCCTTTCAGCCCCTGCAGCTGCTCTTCCGCGACATCCTCAAGCGCGTGAAGGAGACGGAGCTTGATAACGAGCGGCAGGATGACGAGATATACCAACTGAAGAAGTCGCTGGAGGAAATGCGGCAGCGAGACGCGGAGCGCGAGGCGCAGCTGCAGGAGCTGCTGCAGCAGAAGCAAGGAAAGGAGGAAGAGGAGGCGGGTGAGGCTCAGCCAGGAGAGGAGGGCGCGCCGCCTGTTGAACTTCACGCGCTGTGGGAGGAAGTGGAGCGCATCAAGCGCCTCATGGGCGAGTTGCAGCGCACCGGGCGCCGTCGCACCATCGAGGAGCTGTACGCCGCGCGCAAGCGACATGAGAGCGGTGCCGGCGCCTCTTTCTCCGACGTGCGCCGCAAGCGCTCGACGACGCCCCTGCAGCCGCGCGAGGAGGGCGCGGAGGAGGTTGGCGATGCCATCCTGTGCCGCGCACGCGAGGACCTCATGCTCAGCGACGATGCGAAGTCGCTGCCAGCGGCGCTGGAGGAGGGTGCTGCAACGGGGGAGACGGTGGAGCCGCCGCGCCGTGACGAAGCGATGGAGCAGCAGCGGCAAACGGAGGAAGAACAGCAGCAGCAGCAACAGCAGCCAGCAGAAGGGAGAGCTGGGATGGGTGAGGTCGTCCCCACTACCTCTTTGTCGCGGAGCGGGGAGGATCAGTCATTGCCATTCCAGTCCGACTCGCCCATGCGCAGTGAGCGCCTGGAGTGGCCGTCGACAGGCGGAGCGGCACTGGCTGGCAGCACGGGTAGCTCTGTTATGCAGTCACTTGGCCAGCCGCCGTTCAGGGACATCAACAGCTCTATCTGCGACCGCCTTCGGCAGGACGGTGCCGACATTGAGCACCTCAACCGCGTTGTAGCAGAAATGCTGAGCGAGATGAAAGGCCTCCACGCGGACGTGGACCTTATGCGCACCATCGGCTCGGCGGCAGGCGACACGACGCAACCAGTGCCACTTCAACGGCGGGGAACGGGAGACGTTGACGATCTTCTCCGCCGTGTGGAGGCGTTGGAGGACGCTGTGAGCTCCATGAAGAAACACGGTGGCTCGCCGAGCGGCAGCACGTCCACCGTCCCTGGTGTCGGACCTGCCTCTGCCGCTGCCGGCCCAGGCGAGCGCAGGGAGTCGATGAAGAACGATTTCCGCCGGCTGAGGGAACGGCTCGACGCGTTGGAGCAGGCACAGGAGCGTACGGACGGCAAACTTGGTGGCATTCTCGCTGCCCCCACGACGACGAGCGGAGACACCGGCATCAACCCCGCGCAGGTGGCTGCGCTGGCCGCCACTGTCGACGCGCTCGAGCGGCAGCTGGCGGCACTGCAGAAGCTCGGCTTACGCAACTGCGATGACGACCTTGACGCGCTGCGGGAGGCGGTGGAGCGGCTGCAGCGGGAGGCTGAGGCGCTGCGCAACACATGCGCCTCGCTGGACGAGACGAAGGAGGACAAGGGCGTACGACGGCAACCCTCGCTCTCGGCCACGGTGGGAGGGGAAACCCTGCCACCGCCCGTCACGAGTGCAGAGGACCACACTGCAGCAATCAATGACTTGCTCCGTCGCCTGGGGCACATTCAGCAGCGGATGAGCGACGCAGAGGCGAGTGTGAAGGACCTCGAGGATCAGAAGGCCGATCGTGCTGCACTACAGCGAGTGTGCGACGACCTAAAGCATCTGCGGCAGCTACTGGAGCTCGGGGCGGCCAAAAAGGGCGACGGAGAGGCTGTAGGCATCACCGCTGCAATGCAGGAGGAGATGCTCCAGAAGTTGCAACAGCAGATGTCAGAGCATATGCAAGACTTTAACAAGTCACGGGAGGGCACTAGCAGCGACCTGGATGCACTGCGCGAGTATGTAGAGCAGATCGACCACCGAAAGGCGGATGCGTCGCTTGTGGCGAATAAAGCTGAACGCGACTACGTCGAGAACGCACTAGAGAGGCTGATGCGTGAGGTGGAGCAGGTGTTGAACGCCACCAACGCTGGCCTCATCGACACCCTTGACAAGTCTCTCAACGTGCTACGCGACATGCTCGACGGCAAGGCGACGAAGAACGACATGACGCAGTTGCAGCGCCTCGTGAGCGAGGAGCACACTGGCAGCAGCGTGCCCGACGCGCTGATGGGCTTCAAGGGCTTCCGCTGCCTCGGCTGCAACCGTCCGGTGGAGACGATGCGGCCGCGTGTGATGGGCAGCCGCCTGCAGCCGTTCGTCAACCGCCTGCCGCAGAACCACCCGGGAGGCTCCACCACCGCCCGCATCCTGCAGGGCCCGGCCGCCGCCACCGATGTCGCCCCTTCGCCGCCGAGCACCTCCTAGCTGCCGCTCCTGCTCTTTGAGTGAGAGTGAGGGTATCTGCCTGTTTCTGTGTGTGTGAGAGAGAGAGAGTGTGTGTTTGTGTGTGTCTGCGTAGATCTGCATGATGTATACTAGTCTCCGTGACGCAAAATTTGTTTTGGCAACCCATGGAATAGAAACAAACACACACACACACACACACACAC